TTTGAAAAGTATATCCGACTTTTCATTTGACATCAAAACCTCTAGCATGTGCAGTCCACGAAAATACTCCCTAAATACCTTCAGTGCATTACCAGACCGCATTATATATAAACGCAAGAGACCATATACCCGGTGAGCTTTTGCCACAAAACATGGTATACTCACGCGTGAAAAGATCACTGTTGCTATGGTTGGTGGGAATACGAAATTTCTCTATACTTGTATTGAAAATATTTCACTCGTTCGCTGCTTGCGCTCACTCTTGGAACACTCGAAGGGATATTTTTTAACGCCAAGAGGCCATTTAATACGGTATCTATCCTCTCTATATATTTTTCAGTTTCATCGATGAAAATATCTCTTAGCTTTTGACATTTCGAAGTCAAAATGAAGCGCTGTCTATTAGAACGCAATTATTTAGTCTTCCCTGGATTTTGTTCTCTTGACTGCGTTCACCTGCCACTGTCGAGCCCAGAATCTATCCAGCTGCGTGACCCAATCAGAGGGACTCTGAGTTCGAGATTTTTTTTTCAACTGTTAGGGCTCTAGCTCTTTTTGTACGTCTTTTAGCGAAATTAAACCAAGTCAATTGTTCCAATTCCAATTCCAATTCCAATTCTATTGAACGTTTTTGTTGCTAACTACAATATTTTTAGCCGGTCAATGCCTCGTTACGAAAACTGTAAAATGAAAGGCTTTTCGGTCCTTTTCTGGTATATGACAAATGTTGCGTTATTTTCAGCTAGTCAGCAAATGGCTGTTCTTATTCTAATAAAATGGCGGGAATTAGATCGAAGATAAACAATTGTTTCCACTGTTTTTGTTGCGTTATATTATCATATTCGAAATGCGACGACTCACACGAACTACAAGCAAACAAGCCCGAATGCTTAGGACAGATAGAACGGACGACTGGCTTATTCCGGGCTAGACTACCAATTAGCAAAATAAACTTTAGCGCATCGTATCGTGTTAAATCGCGCGACCCGAGAACCCAGTGTCGAGAAAAAGGCCGACTAGCTACAGACAGCAAAAGCATTCTTTTAGTTCTTGGCAAGAGATAATCTCTTGGTGTCTTGGGTAATTTAAATCCGCCCACTGAGAATCAGTGTTAACCGAGATTAAAAGAAAACTGAGCATTCTCAAGCCTGCTTGTGTTTGCTGTCTGATGGCAGGCGTTTTCGTTGGTTTCATGCCAAAAGAATACTGTTTCGCATCCGTGAGTCAAAGTGGAAAACGGATGAAGATATGAACGAGTTAATTTGGTACCTAAAGAATCGATCTAACCAGTCAAACGCAAACAGCTTTACATTTACAGCGAACAAAAATAATTGTCCAGAGCACAAACTACTAACTTCTACATTTACGTTGCTTACCGTTTAAAGCCGGCTTCCCAGATATGCGAGAGAGCAGTGAAACAAAAATAATGAGGGTTAAAATGAATATTCGCTTCATGTTGGTCGTGAATCGTCGCCGAACACAATCAAAAAGAAAGTGATTCGCTGTCAGTTTAGACTTGTAAGCAGTGACCGGCCGCTTAGCAACTACAGAGCGTTCAAAAAAATGGGGCAGAGTGTATTTTGCTTCTGCTCGCGAAAATGCAAATTCTGGTGTCAGGAAGGACCTATTGACGGAGTGAAGACAATACCCTTTAACTTCTGACTTGATATCGATCGTAAATTACGAGGCGAATACGACCGAAGGAAAAAGGGGGCAACACCTAATGAGAGAAGAAAAAAAAACTTTTCATTTTTCTTTTTTCTCTCCCAATCTCCCACCACCCCTTTCCCTCTTCTCAGAACGAGGCAAGGAGAACAACAAAGTCAGGGGGGCACTTTCAATTTGATGAAAAATTCCGGTTTAAATTTCCGGAAATTTCTAGTGACGAATGGGACAGCGTTTTCCGGAATTTCAAGAACAGAGGAAAACCTTGCGAGGAATGCCGAAATTTTCGGAAATTTCTTACCGCGAATTACCGACTTTCCTCCCACAATTTCCGAAATTTCCGGTTGAATGGTTCGCTTTTCGAAAATTCTACAATTTCCGGATTGCTGGAGATTTCCGTTTCGAATTTTTTCGGAATTTAATTTGACCATTCTCGTCCACTAGCACGTGACCAAACGAAACGGAGGCTCTCAGGACGAGATTGTATCGTGACTGTATTACCTCAGCACAACTCGGTCACCGCTCAAGACGACACAAGAGTGTCCCGTTTTCCTCAACTCAGTGTTTAATCTGCTATTACTTAAAAACGTGTGTAAATACTTCAATATCATATCAAGTTTTTAAATGAATATGCAAATAAACTCGCCAGCTGGCAAGCTGTAGTTATTTTCAGTTATTTTAGGCAGTTTTACGCCATACGCGACCGGTGTTTTATTGCTTGACTTGATACAGTATCATAAAAAAAGATCAACTGAAGTGTGTTCGCGTCGAAGAAAATAAACAAACACTTTACTAGTAACTGTTTTGAGTGTTTTAAGTGAAAGAGTCGAAAGAAATAATGTCATACAACAAGTGATGACAAGTAACTTAAATCAAACAGGGTCTTCGTCATGCATCATGCATGGCTGATTTGAAACCAGCAGCACAGCTGACATGCCCGCACTGAGGTAGCGCGCGTTTCGTGTCATGGTTTGGAGGAAATTGCGTCGAGGATTTCTACTTTTACTCCCTTTTTACGCTTGTTTGGCATTTATTGGATTTTTTTCATTTCTTTGGTCGCGTACAAAAACGCCATATCAACAATATCCGAATTCTCGCGCTGTCCTCTTGATTGAACCGGTTTCACTGGTAAATCTTACTTTCAATTCCTCCAATATTCCTGGAGTGTTGAATCTACACGTGTGGAACGACTTGTGCGGTTTAGACGTGGATCGCCTCCGTGAAACTCCACTCTTTCCCCGCTATCCACATGAGAGATTATTCTTGAGAAGTTTTCACACTGTGCGGGATTTTGCTGGCTACGGCCAGAGAATTTTTGGCTTCATTGAACCTAAAGCTTCCGGGCTTTACACATTCGCCGTCTCGTCGGACGATACATCAGAGTTGTGGCTCAGTTTCGATGAAAACCCGCACAATATTCGCCTAATAGCGAGCGTTTTCTCTCCCACAGAAAGTGCCTGGACAGACGAAGGAGATTTCTGGAAATATCCAACACAGCTATCTCGTAATATCCGCTTGGTTGCCCGTCAAAGATATTTTGTGGAAGCTCTGCACAAGCAAGGAGGTGGAAATGGTCGTATACAAGTTTATTGGAGGAAGCCAGGCTCTGTAAAACTCGAAGCTATCACGGGGGAGTATTTACGCTCGTATT